ATCACTTGCTATGCATCAGAGAGCTGGACAATGACTAGGAATGATAGAAGGAAAATTGATGCCTTTGAGTTGTGGTGTTGAAGAAGAAAACTGAATATGGACTGCTAAGAGAACAAACAAGTTCATCCTGGAGAGGGAGAAACCAGACTGCTCCTTGAAGGCAAGGATTCTGAAGCTTCGTCTGACACACTCTGGCCATCTTGCAAAGAGGGACCAATCCTTGCGGAGGGACATCATGCTTGGGAGGGTGGAGGGACAGCACAAGAGAGGAAGACCCTCTATGAGATGGATTGATTCAGTGACTGGGGTAATGGGGGTAGGTGTGCAGGACAGTGAGATTGGTACAGGATAGAGCAGGGTTTGGGCTGTTGGACATAGGGTCACTATGAGTCACAGGTGACTTGATGGCACATAACAACAGGTTCTAATGTTTCAATTGAGATAGCTTTACTCTACACATCCTCACTAACTACCCACCACATCCAGCACCCATTGTCTTCATGAGCATCGAATAATTAATTTATGCTCTTTGAAGAATACTATCATCTGCTCTTCTCTATCCAGCAAATTTCAGTGAATGTGCAGGAATAATGTGGCCTATTTATAAGAAGCTGCACTGCGATCCAAAAGGCACACAGTTCAAATCCATCAGCTGCTCCATGGAGGAATATAGGCTATCTCTTCCCATTCAATTAACTGCCTCTGAAAACACACTGGAGGGTCAGCTACATACTGGTTCCAAGTCGACAGTATACAACAATGATGAAATATATACCAAATGAAAAACTTGTTAGCATCTCTTTCACTTCATATTCATTTTCATAAAGCTAGAAATGTTTTATGGTAACTCCAATTATATCACAATACTCAACTTAGTAAATTGTAATTTGTTCTGAATTTTATTTACCTATGAATTACAAATACAATGAATGAGAACCATCAGCAATACTCAAATGTACAAACCTTTTATTTAAAATTAGAAACTCAAACACAAATTAAATATAAAATACAAAATGTTAAGCCCTCATAAACTATAATAACCACTTCATATCATGTATTAATTTCTACAACAAAATTAATAAAATTTATAAACAATCCATATCAAATTATCACACTGTTATTAACAGCATTAAAATTATCTTAAAACAAAGAAATTTAATCATAAAATTAACAAAGTCACTTAAGAGGGATTCCTACTATCCACTAAATTCAGTAATTAAAATTTAATATGATTTTCTTATCCATACACAAAAAGTACCCAATTTTTAAAAAGATAACTATTTTCTTCCCAAGACTTTGAAAAATGCTTTGTTTACTTGCCTTTTAATTTTAATATGGCACATTATTTTTGATTAGTAAAAGGAATCTCATTTAAAATGTATAGAGCATTCCTTATACAGGCCCTTTCTGCTTCACTTCATGAAAAGAGGGGCATGTAAGTTAAAATGTTAAAAGATTACAATATAATAAATATTCTTTATTAAAGTACATGGCAAAATAAAAACATACACCAAATAACAAAATAACTTATCCATTATGAATGGAAATTGATCAGATTCATCCTGTATAGTCTTTTTTACTGTATATCAATTCTTCTGCAAATGGGGTTTTAGAAATAATAATAACTATTATTATTATTATTATTATTATTACAAACTCAATTCTGAAAATTTGTAGGGGGAAAAAAAGACCAAAGAAAATAGTATAATATCTTGTTTTTGTTGTTGTTGATTGCCTTTGAATTAAGCATGACCCATAACAACCCTATGAACAAAAGGCTTAAAGCCCGTCTACAACTATCGACATTTATCAAAGTTCATAGAGTTTTTGGAGGCATGTTATTGAGGAAGTGGATGCCACTCTGGCTTCCTTTTTTGTTATTCCCAAAAATATTTATAAAAGTGGAACTATCCTTGTCTTGAGTAGATAACAGGAAAATACACTAATATTCATGTATTTAAAATAATCCAAAACAAATAAGGAAAAAACACACTCAAGTATGGCACCCACACTATTCAAGAATAAAGTTATATGCCTATATATAATTAGTTATGTAGATAAAAATGTTCATAAAACATGCATTTTACAATAACCAATAAATACTAAGTAAACAGTATGTGTATAACCTGCACAATTAAAGCTTTCAGAATTCCAGGAGAGTTAAAACTTTTAACATCTATTCCGCAAAACTAAAAGTGAAACACAAACTAAACATTTCACTAGAAAGTTTCCTCTTTATCAATAATTTGTCATACTTTTATCAAGATGCAGTTATTATCTTCTAATAATTTAATTTCAACTATCCTGCTCTATATAACTCTACCTTGAGTGGTAGATCTTTCTCTTACAAGTTTTGTTTTCCTCTTTCAAAGAGTATGAAAATTATCTATACAGACTCCTCCACTAACTCACTAAAAGTAGAGGCTAATAGAAAGAGTATAGTAAAAATTTTTATACAATCATAGTTACATTTTCTTTCACAGATTATTCACTATTAACTATCTATAACCTTAGACAAGTCATATTACATCTGTTCCTCAGTTTCATCTTTAAAACAAAGACATATAGTCTCTAAGGTTTCCTTCCAGCTCTCCATGATATGTTCTGTGCTTCTACAGAAATTTCTACAGTTATATTGCAATCTTCACAAACCAAGAAAACTGATATGAACTATAAATACTACAGATGACCTAAATTCTCCTGTTAAGAAAAAAAAACTAAGACTGTTCAAAGCACAACCTTCCAAATCTTCCTACACAAATTCCCCTCTCAAATCAGATCAATGAATAGCTCAAGTTATCAATTAGTTACATCAAACCACTTTTAAATTATACTGCAAACCCATCAAAATATACTGTCTATGCCACAGACTTTCTATATTCTATTTTACATTATTTTTATTCTATCTACATTCAAGATAACCTGTATAGTTAAGAGGTTCAAACTCAATATTCTTGTACTTAAAAAATAGTAACTTAAAAAAAAGTAATAAGACTTAAAATAAAATACAGATGGGTAGAAAATGAGTCATTCTTTTAATTTTTTTGCAAAAGTATTCTGCAAGCTATTTATGCCCAGAAAAACCAAGGTAGAAAAGGAAATTCTACTGATAAATGCTGATGTTCAAATACAGTTAGTTGTATTTTTTTAAAAAAGAAAGGCAGGAAAGAAATTGTAGCATACACCTACTCAGGAAATACTGAACCATTAACAACTCAGCAGCTTTTAAGAAAAATTAATGTACCATGAATCAGCACTTTGGTACAAATTAGTACAGTGCAAGTTGGTTTTCTTTGTGTAACTGCAGGCAACAAATGAGGCACTTAACTGTAAAATAGAAAAATAGGGTATATCTAAGGAGAAATTAAAAAGCATTCATATAACTAGAAGTATTCAAAAAGTTAAAAAATCCATTTTATTTCACATGCATTCAACATTTCACAAGCTTTACTAGAGAAAATCGTTTTGAAGGTAAGACTGCAAGTTTTGGTTATAAGATACAGAAAACATTTCCTCTGCAAGAAATTCTGGATTTCTGCGGATGAAATCCATGTCTTTTCAACCTGAGTGCTACATTATTTTTAATTCCAGAAAAATATTTTACCACAATTGGACAAAAAAATTTAACCAGCAACAAAGTAGAACAGGTGATCCCTGGTTTTATTTTTTAAGGATCAAAAGTTTTTATTTTACATAACTCCAAAGAAGGAAATCTAGTGACAATAACAGAATTCATGGACATTTAGCACCTAAATTGAAAGAACACTTATGTATTGCCATAGTTGTATGTTCACAGATTGGGAGAAATTAGATATATGTTGTTCAATAGTTTTAGAACATTCCAAAGATTAAAATATTAAACTTCCAAAAAGTATTCATTTGCAAAATATCTCTAACATTCAGACACAATGTTATCATTTCTCCCCAGAGTTATATATATTCTCTTTAACAAGTAAAGCATTATGTGAGGTTTCTTTTCTCTCTTAACCAATAGTAAACTGTATTCCAAATGTGGCACTTTTTCAGCATTTTAAATACAAAATATTGTTTGGTTACAAAAAAGCATTCATATGCTATCACTAGTATTATTTTGAATGTTCTTCACCCTGGAGGCGGAGGTCAAAAGTGAAGTGAATGGCTTTACAACCCTTTTGAAATAGATGAGCAGACATAAGAAGGAACGAGGAAGATGAACATACTCAAATATCTAAACATATATTGGCACATAAATGCTTGTCTGTAAAAAAAAGTACCAAATTAAAAATAAATGTTTGCTTTGACAATATCTCAAGTAAATGTAGCCTAGCATTTGTTTTTTCATAGCTGAAATGTTCCTGTGTTGTCTAAATAAGATGATTTCAAGCTTGGATGAATCATCTTACTTTGTATATTATAACTGATGTATGAGATTAAATTTTTCTGCAAGACAATCATGTTCACTGTGAAATTCTATAATCTTATCTTTTCCTCCTAAATTTTCTCATAAGGCTTTCCTTACTTTTAAGAGAAAAAGAAAGTATGTTATAAATCATATTCTTAATCTAAAAGAACTCTTCCAATTTTGTTATAAAATTTGTTTTACTTAAACATAATTAATTTCTTCATATATAGAAAAAACAAAATTGTTTATATTTTGAACATATAATTTTCTATTTTTCTTTAAGATACTTTAATTCTTTTGTAAAAGAAATTATCTGAGTATATGAAAGAAATATGAACATCACAGCTACAGTTCAGTTGTTATGAAATAAAGTGCATGTAGCTCTCAAGGTACATTATGTTTGGTAAATTACAGCTAAGTACAAGGCTAGCAAAAATCAAAGTGAAAACTTAGCTCATTAAGCAGAATGTGGAAAATACAAGATTGTAAACCCTATATAAATAATGACAAAATTGGGAAGAATACTGTCCTCTAAAACTAACAAGCAAAAATGAAATAAGCAACTGATAACATTTTTAAGAAAAGTGGATTTTTGCTTCCAAACAACCAGACATGCTAGCTACACAGTAATACCAACATGCAATACCTGAAATGGAGATTCACATTCTGACTGCTGCCCTTGAACTTGTGGATTTAACTCAGACTTCTCTGATGGCTGGCTGACTTCATCTTGCAAAGGAGGAGATACGCCAGGAGTCTCTACAGAAGTATTGTCACATAAGGCATCTAATTTTTCTGGAGAACAAGCCATGTGAAGCTTACTATCTCCTATTCCTTCATCAACATCTGTCTTCTCATCAGCTTCTTCTAGCTGTTGAACTGAAGTTAAATACTGTTCAAGCAAACTATTATCCTGTTCACTGTTTGAGTGTTCCTTACTCCATCCACCATTTTCCTCACTAACATCCCCTAAATCTGACTCTCTGCCATATTTGACTGTGTCGATAGAATTCCCCATTATGGAACTTTCGCTGCCCTCTGTGGAACTTTTTTCACATTCCAAAGAATCCTCTAAACAGTGAACTTGTTCTGTAAGAGATGAATGAAACCCAGAGTCTGGAAATTCTGGTAAGGATTTCTCTTGAGGAGTTTCATCAGGGGGAGCAAGGAGCCAGTCTGGGTTTTTATCAGAAGAGGAATCCTGACTTTCGATGAATAGTGGAGATTTAGCTGACACCAGAGTACTTGATATAGGAACCTCATTATGCCAGGAACTGAGGCGCTGGTCCACAGTCTGTTGCCAATTTTTTAGAGATCTCACCTATAAATTAGAGAATACAGTTTTATTACAAAATAAAACTCAAGCCTATTTGACAATTGCCCTTTGAACTTTCCCCCAAGTTGTCATGGAAATGGCAAATGGCAGAACCAGAGCTAGAAACTTCAGGACCCCCAAGTTTTTGCCCTTTCCATCCCATTCCAAATCTAAACTAAGATGGTGCAAGTGGATCACATCCTTATTTACAAAAGGCCCTAACCAGAAGAGTGAGGGAGTTTCCAAAGCAACTCTCTTGCCTCTATAGGAGAGACAATCCAAAGCACAGCTATATATATCTAGCTGGTTGTGAGGTCGATAATGTACTCAGTATAGTGCATCCCTTTTAAGAAGAAAGATAGAAAAAAACCAACCAAAAACCACCAAAGCTACTGCTACCAACTCAATTCTGACACATAGTGACCTACAGAACAGAATACAACTGCTATCGCCACATCTTTCTTCTAAGGGGAAGTTTAAAAGAGCTGGTAGGTTCAGAACACTGACTTTTTGATTCGTAGCTGGGTACTTTAACCACTGTGCCATCAGGGCTCTTATAAGGAATATCTGTTCCTATTAATATATAACTAAATTATCTTAAAACAAAGATGTTACAGGTTGAGGGGGGTAGAAAATGTGCAACAGTAAATTCTAAAAAAAGAAAATGTACAACAGTAAATTTTTTAAAAAGTATACATGCATCTGTTCTGCATACAGTTTGAAAAGGTATGGAGATAGGACACATCCCTGGCATATGCCTTTTCCAATTTTGAACCATGCAGTGTTTCTTTCCTCTGTTCTGACGACTGTCTCTTGGTCCAAGTATAGGTTTCTCATTAGCACGATCAAGTGTTATGAGATTCCCATTCTTCTCAGAGTCAGCCAGTTTGTTATGATCCACACAGTCAAACGCCTTTGTATAATCAATGAAACACAGACAGACATTCTTCTGGTATTCCCTGCTTTCAGCTAAG